AATGTTTTTTTTTCAGTAAAGCGGAAAATGCCAAAAAAGCAAACATAGTTGTAACCGAGAAACGTTAAGATGTATATTTCGTCCCTCTGTTGAAACAACTGAGTAAATATGACCGAATACGTTACGTTCCATTAGCGTAAACAGGGCCTTACTCAATTCCATCTATGGCGACGCCAGACGAATATAATTTTGTATCATTTCATTAGTAGCCCGACTGGTCAGTTCTTATTAAATCTAACCAGCATCGGCAGGTGTGATTAATCACACTACTGTTGTTTATATAAACACGTCTTAGTCTGATAACTTACTATTTACCACTTTGTTCCAAATGACGTTAGGCTCTAGATCGAACTTAAAATACCGCACTGTAATAAGGAATTTCCATTACTTTTAGTTGAATGGCCGTCAAGAAAGTTTCTTTGCTCGATTGTACTTTTTATGAAGATGGTACTTTCAGACACACGTTAAGGCCTACCCAAACACAAATTGTTGCACCCGCTTAAACCTGGCCTGGACAGGTTTTTGCACGCGAATGTGTTGAAGCGCCGAGGAATCAAGAAAAATGTGTGACGTTTCAGCCGTCCGAGAATCTTTAACGATTTCTGCCATCAAGATTCATGAGTTAGATTACGAACTGCATGTGGTCACCTGTTGTCGAGTGCGATTATTGCTGGTGGCGTAAAAGACGTGCATATCGTTGTCAAGAGCCTGGCGCGTCTGATATCATGCAGCATTGGCAGCAAGACTATTAGTTCTACAGGGACACTTCATTGATCTTATCTTGTCGAAAGCGCAATTCAGATTTTCGGATAACGTCTCAGGAGAGCAGTTGCTGACAAATGTCCACATTCCCCGCCTTTATCAGTGGCCCGTTTAGGAAAATTTTCAACTTTCTACGGTTTTGCTTCTGCCTTATACATACCGATAGTGATTCGACAGCAAACGGTAAATCTCCCGTTTGCTTTTATACCCAAATCACTTTTTGCAATCAATTCCTGCGATCTCAATTCATTCAAATGCAAAAATATTTCTTAGTCTCTGAGTGCTGTAGCTGTTCTGCCTTATAAAATCAAAACCGCTGATACTTATGGAATACTTGCATATTCCTGAAGATAAGATGTTTATAAAATTAAAATTCGAACTCTTAACGCATTTCTAAAATTTCTTGTTGTCTGATTCAAACGAATGCAGATTAAAGCTAATGCGGTTAGACTGGTAAACCTTTTTTAAATATAGTAGTAACCCTGAGTAAAAACGACATCCATGTCCATACCTGACAACCTACATAGACTAAATAAAATATAACGTCGGCTTCCTCCCAGAACTCTAAGCACTTTGCGGGTAGAATAACTCAAAGTAAAATTGTGCAAAAGACAGGGAACTTTACTGGCTTTTGTTGGATTAGCAAACAAGAGAAACAGTACTTGGGGTAACGCGAGCTCAAAATGACAGCCTTGACTGCCAAAATGCATGAGTCATGTCGCCTACCACAAACACTTTCCGCAATAATAGCCCCTAATCCTACCTTACAATGATACGTTTTATCAAAAAAAGTCAAAGCTAAGACCACAACGATGGCGCAATACATCGACATTATTTGATGTTTCCAACATTTAGACTAAAAGAACACATATGTGACTGTGATTATAGAGTTTTTCTATATTCGGTTTAAATGGAAGCACTTATTCACTTTCTAATCTAGTAAAAGTCTACGTGAATAATTACATAGAGGAATTTTACAGGTGGTGCTATACGAAATATTTGCAATATATGGCATATCCTGATTTGCTTTACTTTTGCAGATTTTGGTATTAAATCCACTGATCCGTATATCATTGCGCAGATAAATGTTTAGCCATTGTACGTTTTTACAGACTTCACACTACTCCATGAAACTGTAGGTATAAATTAATGCGGGCTTGAGCTTAAACTTCCTAGATTCCTTAGAAATGGGGGAAAGTGTGTCTGGGCCTTTGCAAGTGAAAACTTGAAGCTCGGATTAGACGTTTACATTGATTTTAATTTGCCCACTGAACATTTGAAATTTTCCCTTGGCCTTGCCAAGTTATAAACGACCAGGATTGTCTTATCATTATTTGACTTGGTAATTATGAGTTATTTTTCTCATCCAAATGTAAAAAGCACGGCGTCCTAGGAGGGCTTCGAACCCGCGTCGACAACGGCAAGGCTTGAGAGTAGTCAACGGGGGTTGTACTTTTCACAATTCGTTTAAGTGGGTTGATCAAATCTGCCAAGAGCACCGATCAATTAATTGGTCCTCGTAGTCATCCCCTATCATCTAGATTGATTGCATAAGAAATCCTGACTCGACAGTCAGCTTACTGTAGCAGCTGGGCGGCTGACCTGACCTCAGTTTGATTTTATCGATGGCAAAATAACAATCTCCAAGCAACTGGCTTCAGTATGGTAAAGGGGTGACACAGCCACAAACGGGAATGACCGGTGCTTTAACAAACACCGCCCAGCACGCTTTTATCTAAAGATTTGCCGGTGTCAATAATTTAACAGTCGACCCTGTTTTGCCTTCGTTTATGTCTGACTTTTGTTTTTCAGTCTTATCTGGTCTGGAATTTAGTCCCCGCTGCTTAGAAAAATAGGACAGTCGCAATACTGCAGGCTAGTTTGGAGGTAATGTCAGGAGGTGGAGCGGCGTTTCAGATGAAGAAGCTTGCTGAAAACGAAATAAGCCTATCCACTGCTGTTAGAAAAGTCAGTCCAATGGACCCACGCAGAAGTAGCGCGCCTTTGCAACCTGGTTGAAAACACGATTTGAGGAAGAAAATAGGCTCTCCGGAATAGGTTTATTTAACTGCTGACGTTTCAAAGAGCTGGGTCGGCTCTTCATTGTCAAAGCGAAAAATGCACTTAATCGATTAGAAATTTAATTTAAAGTGGTATCTTGTGTTGGTCGGCCTTATGCCGATCGATTTTCTTTTCCTCTCGCTGCCTTAGCCTCTCGGAAGATGGTGGACGGGCGTTTTGCCTCCGTCGAGGGGAGCTGAGTGAACCTCTGTCGGGCGGTCGGTATAGCGGTTCTTGTTCTCCCTCATCGAGGAAACTCAGCGTCAGGCTATCTCCGTAGCGCCTTCTTAAGTCCGATGTGTGTTGTTTGGTCCTGAGCTCCACGATCGTGATGATGTAGGACTTTGTAAGCTGCAGGAAGGTCCAGATGCCTGTGGATAAAGTGGGCATCGGAGAACCACGCCTCGAGAGTTAGCCGTTCTGCTTTTGTGTTGCCTCGGCCTAAGATGGTAGCCCTCTGAAGGTCAAAAGTATGCCGTGTTTCTCTAACGCGTGTTGCTAGTTGAGAGTTAGGGTCCGACCTCCGAATGGCCGATTTGTGCTCTTGTAGGCGAGTTTGCAATTTCCGCCCGGATTCGCCCACATAGTTACAGTCGCCCTCATTGTAGTTTATTTTGTAGATGACCGCTTAGGTTTCAGCAGGTGGTAATGGGTCCATGGGTTCCATCAGGCGACGTCGAACTGTTGCTTGGGGTCGATGAGCTATGCCTACTCTGGTGGGTTGTAACAGTCGCGAGACCGCTTCAGAGACACCTATCCATGTTATTACGAAAATTCATAATCTGAACCACTACAGACTTAAAGAGATTTTTGCATAAGGAGCTCGACCGTCAATTTCGAAATCGCCTAGTCATCCCTACACACAAACACAATAGTTCGGCTGTCGTTGCCGACACCGTGGGCTGCACACTGGGTGCAGCAGGCACGGTGACTTGCGAGTGAACTAGTTAATAGTGCTAGAGGACTTGCAAAGCAGCTACCGCACTCTCCGTTAGCACTCACCACCTGGACCGGATGTCATGACAGGGTCAAGCGAATCGGAGGCGGAGGAAGGCGCAGTTTGCGACACGGACGGTCCCGCACCTGATAGTTCAACCATCGATTTCGATGATGTCCACCGTGTGCCTCACAGCTGCAGCAGCGGTGGGAGCAGGGTTTTATAGTGCCGGTAGACTTGCGTTGCATCTACCCACACTCTCTCCTCCTCCCTCGCCCGAGTCCGGTGTCAAGACAGAGTCAAGAAGACCGGAGACGAGGGAGGCCGCAGATGGATGGCTCGGACGGATCCTCACCTTGGCGTTCCATCACACCCCCGGTCCGCACAACAAATAACCAGGATTTCAACCAACACAACAGAGATTGGAAGCTGGCACGGCCGAAGCCGCACCTAGGCGTGCCGCTGATGCCTGGCTCGGATCGCACACATTGGGAGTGCCATAAAGGCCACATTACGAAGAGGGCATTGCAGCCTGACTCTCAGTCCTCCAATCCAGGAGGAGGTCCAAATTATCCCGTCAGTTGGCAACCTTCCAAGCCACGGCTTTTAGCGCAGCGTGATAGCTTCAAGCGCGTCCGATTGTTTATAGTGAGGAAAGTGCACTGAGTCGTCGACGTCACTCTCCCTTCCCATTCCCACATCCCAGCCACTGTCCGAGCCGGTCAGCCGACTGGAGTGGGAAATGGGCGCGGTGGCTGGCATGGTCGACTGACCATGACTGCGCGCGCCACGGCACGACCTGGCCCCCCATACACACACAAACACCAGGATTTCACACAACGGGGGTTGAACGGCGTGTCTCCCACTTGCGTGTGAGGGCCGTGGTAGGTACAGTTTCAGCCCGTCCTCAGCCCACCAGTCCACCACTCCGCACAACACACACACACAACGGGACGAACTGCGTGGACCGAGTGGGGGCGTCAATCAGCAACCTTCCTATCCACGACGCTTGACGTGTCGGAATAGTCTCAGACTAAAGTCACCCGTGCAACCGAAGCCGCATGGGGGCCGAGTCGAGATGCGGACTTTCTACTTGCGTGGGAGGTGGCAGTTGGGTGCATGCAGTGGGTGAGTGTTGATGTGTGGTGGTGGTGGTGGCGGTGGTGGTGGTGGTGGTGTTGGTGGTGGCGATGGTGGTGGAGGCAGGGAGGGAGGGTGTTATGGTGTGGCCGGCGGTTGTCTACCGCAGGTCGTCGGGTATGTGAATGTGGTCGAATAGGCCCATGCGATGCGTGGAAGTGCGAGGGCAGTGTGGGCAGTGGAGGCGAGCTTGGTGGGTATAGGTTGGTGCTCCAGACATTGGTTCGCCAGTCTCCGTGCGATGGATCCGCAAGTGACTGACCAGGCCTATGTGTGAAGTGATGATGCGGTCGCAGTTAGGGCAGGTGTAGTCCTGGTCCTCATCGCTGGAGTGGGAGGTTGAAGGGATGGTGTCTGTTGTTGTGTCATGGATGTGTGTGATGTTAGTGTGAGTGACGGCCACCAGGGAGGCCGTGGTTGGTGCAGTGGGGCAGGGGGAGAAGCCGGAGCCGGAGAAAGAGAAGGAGAGGAGGAGGAGGATGGTAAGTAGGAGGAGGGAAGTAGGAAGAGGAGGAGTAGGAAAAGGATGATGATGAGGAGGAGGAGGAGGAGGGGGAGGAGGAGGAGGTGTCAACGGACATTCCGGACACGAATTGGACTCATTGGACACCTTCGGACCAACTGCACCTCCCATACCGCACCAACCGCCGTCCCTTCCCCCGTCTCTTCCTCTTCCCCGCACCTAGGTAAGCCGCAACACCCTCTTGTTTACAAAAGGTTTAACCATGATTTCCCACCAGCAAAAATAACATGAAAACAGGTTCCGATACAAACGAAGCTGCGAGTTCCAGAAAGTAATTGATAGGAATAAGAAGCGATTGCTTAAACAAAAATTTTATTCGCCTGACGCTTCGAATTCTCACTTGAACATATCGCCAGAGACAGTGACAGAAATGGGTGATTCGTGCACAGGAAGTTGCCGTATTTTTAAGATTCAGTTGCTATACCACCGCATACATATGATACTTAGTCGTTCTCCCATAATCAAAAATTGTTTCCCCTTAGTGAGGCCATTGTTTGATGGCCACCTTGAAAGTTGTTAATTGCTGAAATCTCATCAACGTGTTGGTTGCTGGTGTGATGATTAGTCGGAAAAATGGGCACCCGCCTTCGCGTTCCCCGAGTTGTCAAGTAATTTGGCCAGCCTATGCCTCAGCACGACATATGAAGTGGGGATTTCGTTGTACTTCTTGATAGACTGAGGTCCCGTGAAGCATGACTCAAGCAACTCGCGGCTTACGTGATAACCCCTTTTTGCGAGAACTTTGGCCTCATCGAACTCAAATGTGTGGCCTGGTGTCGTCGAATGTACCACGACCTGAGAGTTGGGGTAATTTCTCCGTACCGCTGCCGCGTGTTTGGCAATTTGCGTCTGGAGCGGTCTTTTAGTTTTACCGACGTAGTTACTTTGTCCGCAACTGCACCAGATCCGATAAACGACTCCAGATGTTTTGCCGTGGCAGTGAGTCTTTTGGTCTCATCACTTGACGCCTTATGGCGACCCCTGATCTGTGTGCTACTCCAACCTCATGCGGTGCCAGAACGCGACTAACGGCCTCGGAGACGTTCTTGGTGTATGGGATCGCTCGCCAGGATTTGGGGTCGGTACGATATTGTCGCTCGTCTCGTTCACGAATGCACCGATTGACGAAGGTGCGTAGGTATACATTTTCTCTGAAAACCCGTCAAAGATCTTGGAATGCGGCAACCTAGTCTTCCAGTTCACTGCAGTTCGTCTCAACACACCAATACGGCGTCCTTACGCAACTGCGTTTGTGGCTGATTGGACGGTTGATTTTGAAGTCGAGTATTTTTTGACACCCTGGATGTCCAGGGAGACCCGCCATCTAGAATATATTCCGCAGTTTACTGCAGATATCCCCTACGTCCGAGGCAGCAACAATGTCGTTGATGTTGCATTATCCCGACCAAACACAAACAGCCTAACCCCCAATGTCGACCTTGAGAAGTTTGCGGATATTCAACATGCGAACGTCTATTACTCTGTGCCTTTGAGATGCAGCACTTCCCGCATCACCAGGTACGATATTGTGCGACTAATCCACAGGTACTCTTCGACATTTTGTCCCAATATCCTACTGAAACGTATTGTTTGATGATTTCTATTCCCCGTTGCATCCGGTATCCGCGCTTGTTGTAAGCTACATTTATCTAGCCGCGAATGAACTCTTGCATTACTTTTCAGACTAGGCAGTATTTTGTCCGCCACTGCCGCACATTTTGTACCTCAAGTACATTGGTCGTCCCCGAAGCTCGATCCCACTACGTCCACTTAGACGTAATTGGCCCCATCACCATTCACGTGGCTATGCACGTATTCTGAAAGCGGTTGCTTGTTTCACGTAACGGCAGACTGTTATTCCTATCTCGGATACCCCAACAGGAAATATCGCCGTGGATTTCTTGACACACTGCATATTGACTTTTGGTATGTCGGGCGTCATTAGTACTGATCACGGAAGTCATTTTCGACCTAGCATCTTCCGTGAGTTCCCTAGATTGCTGGAGTGTGTGCACACTACAATCAAGGTACAGCACCTTGCCTCCAACGGCCTCGTGGAGCGTCTACATCATCAACTCAAATCTACACTAGCGCCCCACTCAGAACTATCTTTTTGGAGCAACAATCTCCCTCTTGTGCTTTTGGGCATCTGATCTTCTGTCAAGGAGGACACCACATACACTGCTGCCGAACTACTAAAAGGTAACCCTTCCGTTTGCCCGGCGAATTTGTTCAGTCTTTTGCCACGAACACAAATATATCGAGCACCTTCGTTCAGTAGTTCAAACGACGCATGTCTGAACTGCGTCAAATTTCCCCTCGCTGACAGCTCCATGACTGTTTGTTCATGAACACCTCAAGTCCGCTCCTTTTGGTTGCATCCGGCACGAAGCAGTTTGTTCCGCATATGACGGCTTATACAATGTTCTTCAGCGATGGACAAGTATCGCGTCGATCAGAAGGCCAACAAGACCGACACGGTCTACATTAGCAGATTTAATTCGACCTGTCGTGAATGCATCCCGCCGTTCTTTGCGCCGTCGAATTCTGCTGCATCTTCCTTGCCTGATCTAACCGTTCCAGTCCACTTCACTCAACCACTACACTCGACTACCCTACCTAACCGTCCTGATTCACCTCTTACACCTCCACACACTTCACCTTGCTTTTGTAGACATATCCATTTTCAAACCAAACTCATAGAGTTTGTGATGTAACTTTTTGCATTTTTCATCGTGAGTTTTTTGTTGAACAAACGCTCTGTCGTGGGGCAGTTGTGTAGATCTATGCACATTTGCAATTCTGATCTTCACCTTTTCCATTACAATTGAACATTCTGTACTGTTTGTTGAATATGCGAAAAATGCACACGACTGGTTTCGAATTGCCCTAGCACGTATTTTGTGTCCGTTTGCTGCATGGCGTCTTGGTTTCAGTGAATGCACACATGCAGCTCATTTAATGGCGCCAGGACAGTTTTTATTTCTCCGTCGAATCTTGTGGGGCGTGAATTTAATCAAGAAAAAGCTCCACGAATTGCCTTAGCTCGGAACTGTCTGAACTTTATGCAGAACAATAATGGATACTGGAAAAGTCATCATTTCTCACGAGTCTGTACGATTATTTGTCCTCGCCGGTTTTCCGTATCTTCCTATCGTGTTTTCTTCAGAAACACAGCGTCCTGCACGAAAGTTTCAGTTTTGAATTTATGTCCTTTATTCACAGTGTATTACGCTTATTTAGCAATTAAAATAGTTTTGCGAGCAAGTGCTCTTTGTAAATATTTTGGCAAAGCTTGTGTAAACTGTCAATTAATTTGAAATTCAAACTAATTCTGTATTTCATGGCCGACACAGCAGTATTTTAGTACTGACACATTACTGTGAAATAGGGTAAGATTTTGATTAAATAACCTAGGATATCATGACTGATATGGTTAGTCGTCATGACAACAAAATTTATTTCACTGTTTCTGGCCTATTTGAATCTTCAGCCCGAATGCCAGTAGTTGGATTTGTAAATTTTACATTTTATGGTAGCTTTGATGAATGGCATAGCCCAAGTTCACACATGTGTAAAAAACTACTTTTATCTGATTCTCTTCTTGGTGAGGGATATGAGTACGAATACAAAGGATTGGACAAACACAAACATTGCTACATTGCCCTTTTTCCCTCCTTCAACTCCCGGTCCAATCGCTTAAGGTTAGATGCTTAGTTTGCTGGTCGAAGGCCTAGTTGTAAAATTTCGAAGATTTCAACTGCACTATCCAACCAGATTGGCCGACTCTAGCACTATTGGCGGTTTACGCTTGTACGCCAGCAGTCAGCATATTAGGATGAACGCATGACGTCCCCAGTTCTTTCAATTTATAAGTCATAATATTAATTCATTGCCGATTCAGTTGGTTTGGCTACTTCTCCGCCTTTTACATATTCCGCGAACAACAGCATGATATTATTTTCTAATAAGTTTCAAATCGCAGTCTTAATTTTTTTTTACAGTAGGGAACTGTATTGTAAGCCCCAGTCATCAGTCATTCAACTATTTACTCTGCCATCGTCAATGCCTTTAAGCAACGGTTCCTTCCGCCATAACACTGCTTTAGCTTTTGCGACAGAAGTGATGAAAGCGATTGAACATATTTAGCTTCATTTGTAGAAAACCATCAGTACTATGCAGTTTGACGCAAGAGTTTCAACTCATTTGACGGATTAACCGGTGCAAATTTGTATTTATAAAAACGCTCCCCATTGGCGTTGCGTCATCATCAAGGAGGAAGTCAAAGCTTGCAAATCGATTATCAGTCGTTCACATACGCTGATCCACGCATTTGACAGGCGTTAGAGAATGTTGATTCCAACAGCTGCCGCATGACCGTCAACGCGTTGATGCGTACCTTTCGAGGTAGATGAAATATATAATTGGAATATGCCGAATGACCTTGACTAGGTGTCGATGATGGGGAATTGGACATAATCGTGTACCTCCAAACCGCATTAGAGCCTACCGTCGCCAAAACGTTGACTCGGATATTTTTCAAAGAAATTATCTTCCAAATGGACGAATCAGTCCTGTGCTGCAGATTGCGGTCAAACCAGCTAGTGGGGTATGCATACCGACAGGTGACGTTCAGACGTATTTCAGAAAACAGGAGTGCACACAACTGTCTCTCCTGCTGCACGTCCACCTTCATGCATCCGCTTCCTCTGCTAAACTGTATTGCCTCAACACTGCGTGCGAATTGGCTACCACTGATGGGCTGGATATGATATTGCTGATGCAGTGGGATAGATAGGAATACCCACTGCAGATTGGAAATCACAATATCTGGACCATCGAATGGACAATGTCTTTCATCTGAAAGGAAAACAAATGAAGCACTTTTTCAAAAAGGTCTCGTTTGGTAAGCACAAGTGTCCCTTTTGTGCGCCCACATGCATAAGACGCCCGATTATTAGAACGACGCAACGTTTAGACGCTCCTTCTAATATAAACAGATTACAGTAAATGTCCATTAGAATGCTGAACCCTCGGAATACAAGTAACAACTAAAAAAATGAATTAGATCCTGTCTTCTTACACTTCATCGTACTTACTTGAAATTCTTC